TCTTGGAATTTCAGTTACCAATTTGGAGACCTAGCTAAGAGCACATCAGGTTACCCAGAATCCTTGGTTTTCTCAGACACAGGGATTTGGAACCAAGTGCTGAACTAGCCTAGAGGCAGGCTGAAAGGAGCTCCGGGCCTGCAGGGTGCCGCACGGTGCTCCGGGAGCCACACGAGGAGCCCGAAGGTCCAGAGCGGCACACGCTGTCCAGCGGGCCAGGGGGAAGAGCCTTGACAGAGTCCCTCCTCAGGCTTTGAGACCGGGTACATTTCTTACCTTTGAAGCTGTTTCTTCTCTTTAGAACACGGGCCCAGTAAGAGCTAACGCTGACAGAGCAGCGTTGTCGCGCTGAGCGTGCCGATACCACCGCTGTCAGAAAACAGGCTCCTCGGGGACCCTGACCTCCACTCCTGAACGCTGTTCACATGAGTCCAGGACTTCCGGCTGTGTCCCCAAAATTGCCATGCTAAGTAATTGGCACCTTCATGTTTAACCAACCAGAGCCACTGCACATAGTCAAACTCTACGTGCATGGAAAATTAATTTTGAGAAAATGTTGCAAGAGACTACAAGACCCGTTTACATGTTGACTAGTCTTGTCCTGTGGTTGTAGGTGGGCTCTTCCTGACATTGAGCTCAAGTCGGTCTCCACACCTCGCTGGTCCTCACTCTGTTCTCTTCTGTGTTTGCTGTCAGACTTCTTCAGGGCCTAATCCAAGTCCTTCCCAGCCCTGGGCCTGTGAAGATGAGCTTATTTGAGTGGACGGTTACCCGTGGCCCGCCTTCACAGGGATCATCCTCCCTGCCCCTTGTCCTTGCCCAGGCAGGACTGGCTGCTGCTCAGCGTGGAGGGGCCGTTCCTGGGAGGAGAGGGGGGTCTAAGGATCAAGGCTAGGCTGTCTGTTACCTCATTTGCCAAGTTACTTTCCCAGTAGCCTAAAGAGAAACAGTAGCCCTTGTATGGAGGAGTTTCTATGCTCCCTTGAAACCAGCCACCTAGCTTTCGGCCGGGCCATCTCTATCACCACCAAGGAGTAAGGTGGCAATTCAGGTTTAAGAACAGGTATTTCGGGGGATTTGTCTGTGCCTGCTAAGTGCATCTTGAGACAGGGTTATAGTACATGAGATTCTTCATGGGTTTTAGAAAATCAGAAAATGGCAGGCTAGGGACTTTGGGGCTAAGGGGTTGGGAGACAGCAGGAAAAGTCAGAACAGTTGGCAATCTCCAAATGGGTGTAGGGATTCAGCACTTACTGGCAGCCTTGGTTTGGTAAGGGTGAGCCCGGAGTAGTAGTAGATCAGAACACAGGAGCTGACTGTCACTGTGGATATGTCATCTACCCTTTCTGGGCCTCCCTTTCCTCACCTGTGGCCTGGTATGATGAAACACAACCTGCCCTGCTGGGTATTTGGGAAGATTGAATGAAATAAAATAGCCCAAGGACCTAACTCTCCCTCCTTTGCTCTAAAAATGCTGAACCAGAAGCTTTGCCATTAGCAAGATGGGTGAGTTTGATCAGAAATGATCGGATTTTAAGACCTCAGTATTCCAGAGGCATTACTTTGGTTCATCTCTTTTCTCAATGTATGAGTCTTTTTTTCTTCTTTAGATTTAGTGTTCCAATGACATCCCATAACTCGAATCCTGTTTCCTAATGTGTAACATGGAGATAAAAATATCTGTCCTGCCTAACTCAGCGCATGCTTGGGAGGGTCAAATGCGATGAGGAATGTGACCACATGTAAAGCTTCATGTAAATGCAGGAAATGATGCTGATGGTGCTGTGGTTGTTAACTTTTTTTGACAAAAAGGGCAACCTTCATATTAGGGAGGAAAGGTTGGGAAGCTGCCTCTAGATTTGATGAAATGACAGCTGTATTTTTGTCCACTTTTAAAAAACCATCTTCCCTCTAATGTTAGAATGTAAAATTTATCTTAGCTCAGGATTTACTTGCCCAAGACTCGGCTTGTTTAAGCTGGTACGAGCTGGGTGTGGGGAGCCCAGGAGTTGCTGTTAAGGTTGTGTGGTATGTATGGACTGCCTGCTGGATGCTGCTCCAAGCACACAGAGGATTCACTCTTTGCCTGATTCCACCAGAGCTCCACCCAGCTGACCCTGTGACAGGACCAAAGGCTGTCTGGGGACTACCTAGGGCCATATTGGGGTTGTCAGTCAGACTTTGGGAGGGAGGGAGGAAGGAAGGAAAGGGACGAAAGGGAGTAGCAATGGATGGTGCTGTTTTCCTGATGTCTTTTCTTTAGAGATTTCTCTTACGGCCAGAAAGCTGCCAGCCCCACAGACTCCTAAGGGAAGGGGACAGCAGGTTGTCATGCAAAGAGCATCACATTTAGAAATAGAAGACCTGGATTCATGTCTCAGTTTTGTCACTGATTAACGAAGTTATCCTGAACAAGTCACTTAACCTCTCTGAGCCATTTTCTCCTCCATAAGATGGGCTTGACGGTATTAATCGCAAAGATGCGTAAGGAAAGGTTGGGAAGCTGCCTCTAGATTTGATGAAATGACAGCTGTCTGAACTGGAGAACCCTTGAGAAGTGATAGTGGATAGTGGTGTTGTTGCTTTGTTGTTTTTCCCGTTAAGAGCAGGGCATTTTTTTCTGCAGGTGGAAATGAGGCAGGCTTAGATTAGAGTTTGTGTTTTCAGATTCCCTGGTGAATGGAGATGCCAGTCTAAAAGGAGCTGGATGTAAATAAAGCCTAACCCTTGAACTTGGTGTAAGGACTTCTGAAGCAGGTGTTAAGAGAGCCTGCTTCCCATTCTTATCTAGATGCTCATGTCTTAACTCTGAGTTTTTGGGAAGATCAGGCTGCTGCCTGCCAGATGATGAAGTCATAGGATTCCAAGGGCTTGCCTGGAACCAGGAGCTGGGAGTCCGGTGGCTGGCGGTGGTTGGGAGGGGTGAGAGGGTGTTGGGGTGGTGCATAATCGCAGGACCTGGGAGCAGTCTGGCTCTGCCTGCTGCACACAGCCTGTTGGGAATCAGGCTGCTCTAACCTCAGTGCCAGCATACCCTGGACACCAGAGTGCAGGGTGCTCAGACCAGGCTCCAGGGCAGAGTAAGAAAAACTTTGTAACTTAGAGATTTTTTTCTTTTTAAATCTTCTACGAGTCTCCAGGGTGGCTCAATGCTCACGTTGGAGACGGGGCTAATATTTTAGCAAACTGAAATGATATATGGACTCTGACAGCAAAAGCATCTTAATCATCTGTGTTTGGAACCTTAAAAAATGACCATGCCCTGGTCATCTTACCTCTGGGATGTTGTTGTTATTATTATTATTATTTTGCCTTTATTAATTTTTAGAAAGAGACAAAGGGAGAGGGGGGAGAGAGAAATAGAAACATCGATGAGAGAGAACATCGACTGGCCGCCTCCTGCATGCCCCACTGGGGATCGGGTTCACAACCTGGGCATGGGCCCTGACTGGGAATTGAACTGGTGATCTCTTGGTGCATGGGTCGGTACTCAACCACTGAGCCACATTGGCCGGGCTGAGACTTTAACCCAAGGAACTAATTTGAATGGCAGAAGAAGTTTATACTCAAAGATGCATTTATTAAAACAGTTGGCAGGGAGGACACCTAAAATATCCAGCATTAGAAGAAGATTAATCTTTCTAGAATGTAAATGCAATAGGCTGAGGACTTTCTTGTTCACTGTGTCTCCAGCACCTAAAGCAGAGCCTGGTACACAGATGGCCAGTGAATATTTTTTGAACAGTTGGTAATATGAGAAAAATTATATCTACATGATGAGATTATTATTCAGCTATTTCAAATGAAGAAGTCTTAATGACATAGGACATTTTCTGTGTTCATAGGATATGATAAAAAAAAAAACAGGATACATATTTCTAAATACAGTAAAATCACAATTTTTTTTAATAGAAGGAGAAAACAACAAAAAACCTAGGAAGGAGACTATGCCCAGGTATATGTCTAGATGGTGAGATCATAGATGACTTTTTTTTTCTGTCTATATTTTCTAAAATTTCTCAAATGGCTGCTTTTGTGATTGGGGAAAGCTTTAAAACAAATCATATTCTTTTCAAAAGAAGGAGGTTAGGTTTATTCAGGGAACAACCCAGCAGCTTCTAGAGCTAGCTCCTCCTTCCTTTCAAAGAACCAAGCAGCCTTTGTGAACACACAAAACACCTACACACACTGGTTGTGCCTGTCAGCTTGGTGTGGAAGCTGATCCCTCCTAACTTCAAAAGGGTGCTAGAAGCCCTCCAGTGTTGAGACTGAGCAGGTCATGTTGCAGAGACATGCTCATCTATTTATGTCCCACCCCTGAGGTGAAGACGTTTTGTAGTAGGGAGAAGAATTTTAAGAAGATAGATTTTTCTGGGTGGGTGGTTAATTCTTAAAATTCTTTCCCTGGTTCATGGGTTTGGGAAGCCGTTGAAAGTGCTGTCTGCTTCCTTCATTCTTGTTTCAGCTTGTGCCGTCTTCAAGTAACTTTTTGCTAAGCCACTCAGCTTGTTGGGAGTTGGTGCTTCGTAGGATGTCCCTCTGAGATGCAGCGTGTTCTTGGTGCCATCCCTAGAATTCAAGTCCCCGTGTCTTAGGTGGCTGGTGGCACCTAAACTGGAAGTTCTTGCCCCCCCCCACCCCTCAATTTTTATTTATTGATTGATTTGAGAGGGAGAGAGAGAGAAACATCGGTTTGTTGTTCAACTTATTTATGCATACATTGGTTAAATCTTGTACGTGCCCTGACTAGGGATCAAACCCACAACCTTGGCATATCAGGACGATGCTCTGACCCACTGAGCTACTCAACCAGGGCTGAGCTGGAAGTTCTTGGCTTTTGAATACAGCTGGATTAAGTGCCGCTCAGCAGAAAGGCCCACTTTCTTACCCTGGGAGGAATCTGATGACCAGGGGTCCTCAGACATTCCGACCTGTTGTTGTGTCTGGCATCCTTTTCACTCATGTGCCTGCTTTAATGATCTCTCTTTCTTTCTCTTTAGCCATAACCAGCAGACCACAGCATTCAGGCATCCTGTGAGTGGGCAGTTTTCTCCAGAAAACAGTGAATTTATTCTTCAAGAAGAGTAAGTACTTTTATATATTCTCCTTTTCCAGGCAGAGTTTGGGAGCTTAAAAGTGTTTGCTTGAAACAAAGCTTGTTGGACTGTTTTCTCTCTCAGCTAGAGGGGCTCAGGGTGGGCTGGTTGACTGAAGGTGAAATGCGAGAATTTTGTTTTTCAGCCTCTGGACTTCCCTCAGTGGGATGAGGTGGAAGGAGGGCGGTGATGGGGGGATGTGCTGCGATTGGTATTGTCAGAGCCTCTTAAAAGCTCTGCCCCTTGAACGAATTATTTTCCTCAAGCAACATCTAACACATTCATCTGGTGTGAAAATACCTTAAATATAGCCTCAGACCGAGCAAGCCTCCAAAGGGAGCCTCAAATAAGAGTCCAAAGCTAGGGCTTAGAAGAGAGGAGGGCGGGTGACACCCCTTGTTCCTGACCATTCTGAGCTCTTATGCTTGCTTTTCCTGACACAGGAACTTCCTTGCTCCACAATCCCGTTTCAGCAGGGCCCCTGGGATGCTCAGTGGCAGGTGCTGCCACCCAGGGCTGTCTACTGAAACGTGTGTGCAGCCCAAGCAGATGTGTTCCTCAACCAAAAACGAAGGGAACCTGTGCAAGTGGCTGCGTTCCCTTCTGCTCACCTGAGACCGTTCTGTCTGAAGAAAACAAACAATTCTGTCTGAGAAACTAATAGAGACATTGGCTTTATGTTTTGTTCCTTCAAATCATTTTTCTTTTGTTCAGTCACCTAGACCAATGTGATCTTAAAATAAATTATCAGTATTCATATTTTAAAAAAAGGGTTTTTTCTATATTGATTATAGAGAGTGAGGGAGAAGGAGAGAGAGAGAGAGAGAGAGAGAGAGAGAGAGATTAATGAGAGAGAACATTGACTGGCCACCTCCCCCATTCCCGGCACTGGAGATTTGGTCCACAACCTGGGTATGTGCCCTGATCAGGAAGCGAAGTAGCGACCTCTTGGTGCATGAGTTGACGCTCAACCACTGAACCACGCTGGCCGGGCAGTATTCATATTTTTAATGCATTTTGCTCCCTTGGTGCTTACTCCTTTAAAATTTCTATTGTGGAAAATTTCAAACATATACAAAAGAAGAGAGTTATGGTAAGAAAGCCAATGTATTCATTGCCATCTTCTATAATTTTCAAAGCATGGCTGATTTTATTTCATCTCTACATTCCTCCTCACCCCCTAGATTCTTTTGAAGCAAATTCCAAACATATCATTTTATCTCTATAGTATTTTCAGCTTAGAATAATTATTTTACAGAGCTTTTAAAATTAGAAATCTATAATTATAACAATACTGACATCCTTGCATATTTACTCTGTGCGGAGGATTTTACATGCATCTCTCATTTAATACCGTAACCTGGGGAGTAGGTCATCACCATCATCATTTTAGAGATGAAGACACTGACACTCAAAGAAATAGTCGTTTGCCCAAATTTGATGTCTTCCTGGCTTGATCTCTTTAGTCAGGTCTAACCCTTGCCCTAGAAGCTGCTTGCTGAATTATTTTGCTGCTGGTGGCCTATGGGACATGATGGCTAGACTGGCGTCGGGGGTCTGACTTTGAAAGCATTAATACTATTAGAGAGAGAATGGGTGGAAGGTAAAGACTGTCTTGTCTCCTACATCAAGAAAGATCTGCTGTGTGAAAACAGCCCAAATGTGGATTATCTGAATTCCAGCTTGGAATGAGTTTGTAGAATCCTCAAGGTCAGAAGCTCCTGAGAGGTCACTGAGGTCAGCCCCTTTTCTTAGGCTTCCTGGAGACATGGACACCTGTCATTATTAAAGGTCTGGATAGGGAATCCATCAGAATGCTTAAATTGGGAAGTTGTCAACTTTAATATGAGCTTCTAGGAAAATGCGGACTTTTTATAACTAAATAGTTGTCACACACACCTCCTATTCCTCTTTGTTAACAAAGACTTTGTCCCCTGACCACTTCCGAGAAGTTAGCCTCTTTTATTCTACCAAAATATCTCTGTAGTTAATCTCTGTTCCGTTCAGTTTCCAAGGGTCACTGTCTCCCTCTAGAGTCCCTTTCCTGGCTGTCATAGGCATGCTTGCTTATCTCAGGTGGTGGGAGCAGCTGTGTGGCCAGACTCCTTGAAGGAGGCAGAATGTGCTTTAGGCATTGAGAGGGAGGGAGGCTTCCTGCACTTACTCATTAAGTACTTAGTAAATGCCTGCATTGTGTCAGGGGCCGTGCCAGACTCTGCAGTCACAGCAGCAAGGCAAACGCGGTCCCCTCTATGAAGAGCTTACTGTTGAATAGGGAGGTTAGATAATTAAACAGATCACAAATGTGATCCATGTTCATGCCTGAGGAGACAAAGGGTTCATTCGGAGAAGGTAATGGGGTTCTAACCTGGCTTCAGGATCCTGGAAGGCCTCTCCGTCCTGAGAAGGTATGTTGAAATGGAGACCTGTCCAGTCAAGGTGAACAACCTGGGCAAAGACGTTGAGGGCAGAGCGGGTGGAGCGTGGGGGATTTACACCAGCTGGGTCAGAGTGGAAACTGAAGAGCACTGTGGATACTGGAGATCCTTGGGAGGTGATATTGACAGGAGGTGAGGACATTGACAGGATTGATTGCGATGGGGATGAAAGAGAGGGAAGACTTTCTCGAAGTGTTTAGCCCTTAACTGGAGGAAGGAGGACGATTTTGATAAGTGCGCACGTGTATGAGGGTCGTTCACACGGGGACGTGTGGCCATCGTGGTGGGGTCAGAGGGCAAGAAGACCCATGTGTAGTGGAGGATTGGGAAGGGGAGTGTGGATAAGGTTGGAGACAGAGGCTGCAGTCCGTTGTCTAAATCGCTTGTTCCTTGAAACACACTCGGATTTACCTCCTGGCAGAGTTCTGGAGGGTGAGTGAGGCATGCTTTCCCCTCACAGAAACCATTAAAAAAATGTGCCAACGAATAGGATGACTGTTATAATCTTGTAAAGAGAAGGTTAATTTTGTTGTGTGGTGTGTTATGTGTGGCTAGGAGAAAAAGGCTGAGATGACCATTTTTGTCCTTCACATACCCACTCTCCGCTTGTGTTGGGTGGAAAAGGAAAACTGGCTTTCTCGTCTTCAGAGACGGTCTGTTAAGGCCACATCGACTCTGCTTGCAGAGCCGTCACCCCGGTTTCTTGGTGCGAATCCTTCTAGAGCAGTGGTTTTAAAGTGTGGTGTCTGAACCAAGGTGGCCCAGGAACTTATTACACGTGCAGGTGCTCGAGCCCGGATCGTCTGGCCCCAGATGCGGTGCCGCTGACTAGTTTGCGTACTGCCTGTCCTCTCAGTGGTCTTCGAGAGACGTCCTTGGCTGTCCTCAGGCGTTTATGTGCTGACGAAGTAGGCCACTGCTGCTTAGGGATGTTAATTGTAATTGTATTTGCAGTAATGAAATTTGATCCAATAACTGCACGCTTGTTTGGAAGATGCCAAGCCTCCTTGGTAGTCTTTTTTTCAGAAAAAGTTCTCAAGCCTTTTTGCAGGGCCTCATTTCCAATGATTGGATCATTTGGGCTCCTCTTAAGCCTCTTTCCTGATTCTCAGTGATTTCCTTAAATTGGGAGCTTGTGGTTGCCCTTTGTGGCTTCCAGGGGCCACACACAGGGGCCCTCCTGAAGGGGTAAGCCCTGGCCCGAGGAACTTCAGGCTGTGGTTTTGGGGGTTGGTGCTGTGTACAGGAGCATTTTCTCCTCCGAGCTGGTCTGCCCAGGAAGCCGCTGGCAGACGCCTCTGCAGCTCTTGGTGAAGAGGAGAGGAGCGTTCCGGAGCCTTGACGCTGGCAGCTGACTGACAGCAGGCGGTGCATGCGGATCCCCAGGCTCTGTCGAGCGCTTGATGTTGAGGTGGGGCCCAGTTGAGAGTGTGTGCTCTGGAAGTTCAGATGCCTGCTGTTGTGCTCAGAAGCCAGCGGCCAGGCACCCAGGGTTGCGTGGAGTTCCCAGCAGGGCGAGGACCCTGGCCGAACCTGCGTCTTGGGCATCCTCGTGAGTTGAGCTTGTTCCTTCCCTTGGGGTCTGAGCAGCCCTCTGTTTTCTCATTGGATCATTTGGGGAAGAACTGCAAGTTGGAATTGCCTGGAATGTTATGAGTGGTGTTTAGAGGATAACACTTAAAAGCTTTATCTTGCTGCAGGTAAGAATTACCTTCCTTACCTTTGACCTCTTTGGGGGTTCATTTTGCAGATTTTAGGGCAAGGCTCTCTGAGGTGGATGCTGATTATGGGTCTGGGGGTGGGGTATCTCCTGCTGCTGGGAGATGGCTGACTCCCTTCCCTCCTGCAGTTACAAATTGGTGAAAGCTGATAGTGAGAGCTTAAGAATACAGGATTGGGGTGGGGGTGCACTGAGCAGGGAGAAGGAGTCTGCCCTGTTGCCCATCAGCAGAGCCCAGGGCTGTGAGGCCGACGTGTTGCTCTCTGCAGCTGTATAGCCAGCACCTTGTCTCTCCAGACTGACAGTCTTGCGCTAGCTTTGCCTGTTGCATTTGGTTGCCATGGCAGCAGAAAAATGAGGAAAAATGGAAACACCTGGCAAGCAGATACAGAAACTTGGACTGTTCAGCTTTCCTTCTGGGTCTAGGAGACGGCGTTTGTGACAGTCAAGGTAAGGGAAGAGGTGGTGATAGTGTCCTTAGTTCATTCAGACACCTGGGTGTTGGCTTGGCTTTTGATGTTGATGTGGCAAAGGGCACTGGCACAGGGGATGCAGTCCTCGCGACACAGTCTCCAGCTGCGCGCTGGGCAAGGATGCTGCAGTGGGGGTGTCCCTGTGCATGGAAGGGGAGCTGCCTGGCAAACAGTCATCTTGTTTTCTCCTGTGACACCCCTGTCTTCTCCTTGTACCTCCCCCTGGCTGGGGTGTGCCCAGATCTGCATTAGAAAAGGCTGTTTCCATTGAGAGAAGTGGCTGCCTGCTAAGCCAGGAGGAGCAGGTAGGCTAGGAGAGGGCTCACCAAGGCTCTTGTTAGAATTGTAGCATCTCTG